GGCTTGGCCATTGGCCGAAGACCTATTCCAAAATGAGGACGACTGGACAGATGTTGGCATACAGATAAGAAGGGTGGCTTTAATAGAGTTTTCACGAATGAAAGCTGCCGGAAGAAACTGGACAGAATCCCAATGGAAGAAGGTCATAGAACAGGCAGAAGCAAACCTCGGTCAGGACCCGTTTGGGGACTATTATTGGACACAGAAAAGGAAAGAAGCATTACTGCAACTGGAGGTAGCAGAGCAACAGAGACAGAATGACTGGGTGGAATAGCTGATATTGAGAGGGATTTGTCAAAGGGGTTATTTCCCTCTTGTACAAGAAGGGAGACAAAAGGGATGTACGGAATTATCGACCAATCTCGGTCCTAAACCTGGCTTACAAGATACTAGCGAAGGCACTTGCCCTAAGGCTGGCAGATCTTCTTCCCGCATTGATAGGGTGGGAACAGGGGGCGTTTGTTAAAGGGCGATCGATTTTTTAAAATATTTTAACAACAGTACAGGCCCTGGAAATCATTGGAAAGGAAAAGCGAAGTCGCTGTTCTGCTACTCGATATGGAGAAGGCCTATGATAAAGTAGGGTGGGCCTTTGTCTCAACTACCTTGGTTAGAATGGGCTTCGGTCCAGGGTTTAGAACATGGGTCAAAGCGATGTATGCCCACTCAACCTCAGCAGTGCTCATTAATGGACGAGTTTCAGAGGAATTTCCCCTGACACGCTCACTGAGACAGGGCTGTCCCCTTGCCCCCCTCCTTTTTGTCTTGCAATTAGAAATCTTATTAGATAATATTAGAAAGAATCCCCGAATAACAGGGCTGTCGGTGACCCCATCCCTTCAATGGAAGGGAGGGGCGTTAGCGGATGATTTGTCGCTGGCCTGTGAGAATTCAGTGATTGCTTTGGAAGAATTAAAAGGTGTAATAGATAACTACTGTATTTTATCTGAGGCATCTATCAATTGGCATAAGTCTGTGTTTTTTCTGCCTTCATGTTTTACACGCAGAGTAAATTGGGGGCTGAGACAGGTCCTGACGGAGGATTCGGAAAGGTTCCTAGGTGTTTTGGTTTCACTCTCCAACTGCTCTAAATCCCAAGATCGGTTACTAGCTCAGAAGGTGGTGTCACGAATTCTGAGCTGGCAAAGAAACTATGGACTGTCCTTGTTTGGACGCGCTTTGGTTATCTCATCTGCCGCGCTGTCAATCCTCTGGTACCCCCTCACAGTAACCAGGCTGGGGGAAGATGCGTACAAGATGATTAAGAGGGCGGCAGCCAAGTATCTGTGGAAACCGGGTGCGGATGAGGACGAGGGTTTTATGGCAAAGGTAGCCTGGGAGACGATAACACAGGCTAGATCTGAAGGGGGGCTAGGTATTTTAGACCCCCAGCTCCAAAATGTTGCCTTGCTGGCCAAATGGCCAATTAAAGGGATGTCGGAAGACAACTCGAAACTGTGGATACAGCTTGCTGAGTACATTCTCAGTCAGGAATGGAACTTATCGGATCCAAATCATGTATGGACATGCCTTCTTGTGCCCTCCTATGCAAATAAGAGACCTAAATCCCGGATATGGCAGGACATACTGTACGCCTGGAATAAGGTGCAACCTCGTACAGCGAACCTACCAACGTCGAAGCAGGAGGTCCTGAACCAGATTTTGTTTGATAACCCTCTGATCCGTCAAACGAACCAGGAATGTTTCACAGCAGGAGAGGGAAGGGATGCATTTGGTAAGTCTTGGGTGGAAAGAGGTGTTCTCCAAGTGAAGCATATCTGGGATAAAGAGAAGGATGACTGGATTATGGAAGCGGACCTGAGAAGAAAGTTACCAAGATTCCGCAGGGTTAATCTCAGGAACTTCTTTCAAGAGATTGACCCACAGGGGGCTGGAACGGCTCGGATAAGCTCCTGAAGATGCTGGGGGAGGGTACATGGGTCTTTGCAGATAACAATCCCCAAAAGATGTGGAGAATTGTGGGCCCTGATCTGGTTGCGGGCATAAGGGTGGAAGAATGGAGCATTCCACTTATGTTCAATAACCAGGGAGGTCCCAGAGCTTTGAGAAAACTGGGGGAGGAGGTAATACCCACGTCATTACACCTGGAAGAAGCAAGGGTGCTGAGTAACTCGAACGGGAAACAAGTGCTACTCCTGGGTTCTGCTTCCAGTTTTCAGGTGGAACCGTTGGCTCGTTCGTGGACTCTTCCAAGAAGATCAAGACAGGACTTGGGTGAAGTCCCTCTGGTGTCATATATACCCAAACTGGGAATGAAGGCCTTAAGAGAAAGGGGGAATCGGAAACCACTCTTAGTAGCAGCACAACGGTTGGAGAAAGTCTCCAATGGACGTTTGGAACAACCGGAGTGGCGGGGCTTGTGGAAGGTGCTCTCCTGGCTTCCTTCACAAAGGGATGCGAGCCTGTTATGGCTACAATCCTTCCTGGTAGTTGCTACAACAGTGTGGCTAAACCAGAAAGGACTGGATTGTAATATGACATGCAGCAGATGCGCGTGGGGGTGGGAAAGTAACTCCCATCTGTGGCTCATGTGTCCGCTAGCCGATGAAGTGTGGATGTGGTGGGTGGAGACATGGGACAAGGTAACCGCCAAGAAATATGGAGGGCCAGGAATTCGCAGGTATTCAAGAATAAAAAGGTGGTATTCCAAGAACAACGACACCAGATAATAAACAATATCCGGCGAACAATCATGGCTGACTGGCAAGGCACCTATAAAAGTAAGAGAAAAGGATTCCGGTGGTTTATGGGGACGTGGGCGAACAGGGGTAGCTTTGTCTCAGTCTCTATGGGTCGCAAACTTTCCTTTTCACAGTGGTTGAATCCACCCTGAAGAAGATGTGGTGCTACCAGGTGAGGGCTTACAGTTAGATCTGCAGAGAGAGCCTGTTGAAGATGTGTTTGTGGGAACTAAGTATAGAGTCGCATTAGACTTGAGAGGAACTGGTGGGATATGATTGGGCGTTCAAGATCTTTGGTGATCATATGATGTGAGCTCTCCCTGTGCTGTTAAGACGAGTTATTTGGCTCTGTTAAGTGTAATTGGAGTCTCACTGAGAAGCCGTAGGAGTAAATGCTCACATGGAGGAAATTGGTTGTTGAAAAGGATGGTTTATGTGAGTCCTCACTGACTGCTAATAGCAGTCTACTTTTTTGGAGCTTCAAGGTACTTTGGAAAGTTGTTGAAATTAGTAATGGGACACTGGACCCGGTTTCCAGCAGCAGATAAGTCGGTCCAAGGACAGTAAGTGATATTGCGAGCTTTGCTCGAAAGCGAAACTGGCTGAGGCTGCCAGGATAACTCCGGGTTGAATTGTGAGGTCCCCGGCCTCTTCCCAAATTGATTTGCAATATAAATCGACACTTTTCAAAAAAAAAAAAAAAACGTTTTTTTTTTTTTTCCCCCTTCTGAAATAAACCAGTGATAGAGAAAACATTATGCAATGACAGCGAACAAAACTTCCATGAGAGCAAAATCAGAATTTGCATCAAGGGAAAAATCAAATAGAAAAAAAGGGATATCCCCAGATAAAGGACAAGGAATACGGTAAGAACAAAAAGACAAAAAAGTTGTAACAATGAAAAGTTAAAAATGACGTACAATCAACTGGCCTGTCTAAGTCCGTACACCCATGAACTGTTGAATTACTGACTGCAGTTCGAATCCCGGTGACATAAGTTAACAAAAATGCACACAAAAAAAAAAGGAGTCTAAACCAAGGCCAGTAAGTCCGGAGCTGATATCTCAAGGCTCCTGCCCTTTTAAGCAAACACTGAAACACTTAAAAAAAAAATAAAAAAAAATTCAAAAGGAATATAAGTCCGGAGCTGATATCTCAAGGCTGCTGCCCTTTTAAGCAAACAATTTAAAAAAGAAGAAAATTCAAAAGGAATATAATTATTATAAGTCTAAAGTTCTCTAAACCAAGGCCAGTAAGTCCGGAGCTGATATCTCAAGGCTGCCGCCCTTTTAAGCAAACACTTAAAAAAAAAAAGAAAAAAAAAAAAAGGAATATAATTATTATAATATGGAATAAATGCACAATGCCTGCCCTCAAATCCCCTTGTTGCGGTTCTCCCTGGCCGTGGTCCCACTAGCAACGGGGATAGGATAGAAATCCTGAATCTGGATATGTTTTATGCAGAGATACAGAAAACCAGTTCTATCTCGATTTCCTGCTCCTGTCCTCAAACACGTCCAGATTCAGGCATTCAATCCTATGCTCTTTGCTAATGGGACCACAGCCCCTGTTATGCAGCTCCTAATATGCCGAAAGGCCCGAAACGTTAGAAGAGGGACAGAAGAATAATTTAAGAAGAAAGGGAAGCGAAAACAAAAAACACCAACCGTCCCATCTGCACAACCCATTTCTTACGGGACGGCGTGGGAAGAGGGGGCGAGGGGGGTTGTGTGCAAAGGGTTGGCCGAGAGGGATGCAGACATCGATGTGGTCCCGAACCAGGCTTACTAGGGGACCAGGTTCGGGGATGCAGGGGGGCGGGGGGGGCGGGGAGTTACAAGGGGGGGTAACGAGGGGGAAATGCAGTGAAAGAGAGGGAATTTAAAGTGGAAGCAGAGGGTGGGAAGTGAAACAGTTTGCCAACAACAAACCAGTAATGGACAACTGGTAGGTGATATTAAAAGGACACGCAGAGGTACGGAGGATAAAGGAAGAGAACAGCGTGAAAGGGGTGATCGCAGGGTGACAAGGGTGAAAAAAAATGAGAGAAATAGACGATAGACGATTCGATGATGATGTTAAATAAAAAAAAGGGGGGGAATCAAAAGTATCAATGCTGTGAACACAGAATGACAAAGTAAGTGGCGAGGACTGGAAAAAAAAAAAAAAAGAACATCACAAAGAAGATGGTCCATATTCATCTGAAAGATAAAACACAACAGGTCCAAATGTCAGAGCATGAGGAGGTAGTGGATCCATGGAAGGGGAAATGGCAAAGAGGGTAAACAAGAGGCACACCAGGGATGACGCGACTGCACTGCGTTCAGTTCGAACGCAGAAATTCTTTATGTAATGCGCTACTCCTGCCAGCAAGGATGCATTGTCTGGATCCTGCATAAACATTCCAACCAACATGAGCGAATGGTTGGCTTGCGATTCCAAAAATCAACAAACTAAAACTAATTACCTTGCCTCTCTCTCTCTCTCTCTCTCTCTCTCTCTCTCTCTCTCTCTCTCTGTGTGTGTGTGTGTGTGTGTGTGTGTGTGTGTGTGTGTGTGTGTGTGTGTGTGTGTGTGTTTTGTAAGATTCGACCTCAACAGCCCCTAAGCCACCCAGACAAGTAGATTCGAGTTGAGCCAGCCCAGCAACTAAAGAATTCAGATTCTTAGCGAGCAACATGAATCACAACTGAACCATAATGATTTCGAATTTTGTTAAGTTGGGGTTTCTTCGGGGCAACAGCTCCTCTTTCACTATGCCACGCATGTACAAGGGCCTAGTAAACAATAGACCCTAAAGGGCCCATTTCGAATTGTGTTAAGTTGGGGTTTCTTTTGGTCAACAATAGATCCTAAAGGGCCCATGTTGACTGTGGTTGAGGAGCAGCTGCCCACATCCCCGTGTGCCTTAACGGCCCACTTGCAAGTTATAACAAGAGGCAGAAATAAAGGGAAGGTATGCTTCTGTGCATTTCTCTTTGGATCTTCAGACTCCTGTTTATTTCACATCTGATCTTCGTATCGTCTGTTTTCTTAACTACGCTCATTAGTATGTTGTTTCTAGTAGCACATTCGTATGTTGTTTCTAGTAGAAAAAGAGGGTAGGCTGGAGGGGAGGGTGGAGGGCAAGGGATAGAAGGCGGAGTCCTTTAAGAACATAGGGATAGGTGGAGGGTAAAGGGCAGGAGAGAAACATGTGAAGGGCAGAAATTCAATAGACCATGACATGCAAAGGGCAGGGGAGAGGTGTATGACGAACTTCACAGAACTCTTACCACTCAACACTGGAATAGACTACTCTAGAATGACACGCGGCCGCGGGGGATTCGTAGTTCTACTGATTCAGGTCTTAAGGTTTAGGTATTAGGGTTCAGGGGGTTAACAAGTCACAGACAAGCTACACCTTTTGATGGGTCTGCAGACTCTGCACCCTTGCGACTTCCAAGTCTAGGTTGCAGATAAGTGACCCTTTCCCTGTGTGTACATAAGTGTCACAGTGAAAGGTAATCGTTTCTGGATCCGGCTCACGATTACTCTTTTGATTTTTTCTGTGTTATAAAGATGTCCTGATTGGTCAATTATTTTTTTTGCTTTATTGAAGTTTATTCCTAAAATCGGTTCTATTACTATTACGGTATTACCTATAGGCTATAGCTGCTGTAGATGACATGTGCCGCCTATTCTTTTCATAATATTTTCATATATATATATGGCCTCAGCCGCTTCGCTATTTTTTTTTTCCTTTTCTTTTCTTTATTTTTTACACCAAAACACCCAAGTCCTTCAAGGAACGCTAATCAAGGTCGAAAGGCCCACCTTCTGAGACCTGGTCTCTGCAGAGATGATTCAAGTGGCGGTGATGTGAGCTCTATAGACATTTCGAAATGACCTCTGCACAGTAGGAGCAATGCCGCCGCTGCAGGGAACTTAAGTAGCCCTTCGGGCCCCCTTCCGACGCTGGAGGTATGGCCAAGTGGGATATGGGAAGGTGGAGAAATTTTGCAAAAGATGGGGTCCGTATCCACAGCTACTGACCAGACGAGACCCCCACACGATCCAGCAGCAGTTTGGCTAGGTCTTGCTGAGGCACATGTGCCGGCCGGAAATGGAGCTGGAATAGGAGGAATGTTGTGTCAGTTCACGTTCCATGCTAGGATGCGGTAGGCGTAGAATAGCTGTAAAATAGTTTCGATGGTTTCATAGGAGGTGGGTTCGAACCGGGGGGTGTATAAACGGGGTTCGATAAGAGGGTTCGATGCGGGACACAAGGAATAGTTGTAAAATGGTTAGGATGCCTGTGCGCGGAGCAGCACAGGTCATAAATGAACCTCAGGATGGATGAACGGGGGAGGAGGGGGGAGGAGGGGGGAGGATAAACGATAAGGAAAGAAGGGGAGAGGGGAGAGGGAGCAGAGATCAGCAAGAGAGGGAAAAGGATAAAAATTGGAAAACTTGGAAGAACTTGTACAGGCTGGGGAAATCACATTCAAGAACAGGATACGACGACAGAGGGGGGAATGGATGGTGCTACTGGGAAAGAAGCAAGGAAAGCAGGGTAGCTTATGTATATCTATAATAAGAGTAGAAGGGAGACACTAGGAGGAGGGGAACAGAAGCATTAGCGGGTGTTGGCGGTTCCGACTTCGTCATAGGAATGAATACGTTCAGGCCAGAGCTTTGCAGCCTATTAGGATATGCTCGAACGACCCTACCCACCCCTTGCCTTTCCTAGAGTCCTTCAGCTGCGTGACTGGGAACGGCCCGTAATCTTCCCGGCCAGCAGAAGTCCAATAGGAAAGCAATGGTTCGGAGGGAGGGGGCGGGGGGGGGAGGAGAGGAGGAGGGGGGGTCGGTTCGTAGCAGCCCCCCCCCTCTTTGAGAAGGTGACTGGCACTGCAAGGGCTGGGCTGACTCTTTTTTTCCACTCTGTTCTTTTGGCACTTTCTCTTTGCAAGTTCGGACTCATGCTTGCCGGCGATCAACAACCGGCTCGCTATCCTTTTTGTTTTTTTTTTTCCCGGGCTCACTATTTTTTTTTCTTGCACACTACATGGCCTCGGCTCGCTATTTTTTTTTCTTGTACACTACATGGCCTCACATTTTGTGCTACATTGAGTATGAACGACTATCCTTTTTTTTTTTTTTTTTTCCCGGGCTCGCTATTTTTTTTTTCTTGTACACTACATGGCCTAGGTTTCTGAACTATTTTGTTTTCCAGCTGCATAAAAACGTTTAAAAAAACTGTCACAAAAAGAAAAAGAAAAAGAAAAAGCCTTTCGTGGTCAAGAGGCTTGGACCCCTCCTTAGGCTATAGCCTTTCTCTACCTACTTCCCCTCCCCTGCCCTGCCGCCCCTATTTAACCAATTGTAGCCATAAGGTCCCCCCACCAGGCATGTACCCCTCTTATATTCCTGCTGAGGGATTTGGAGGATTCTGGGCCCATCAGATTGGTAGGTTTCCCGTTCCGGGTGCATGGGTAGGGTATGCGGGTTTAGTCCCTAAACCCTAACCCCTAAACTTTAGGTTCTATCGTTGACCAAAAACCCCTAACCCTAAACAATAGACCCTAAACTTGACTTAGGGATCTATTGTTTAGGGGAGACTATTGTTTAGCATTTCGGGTTTAGGGCTACCGGTTGACAGTTAGGGGTTTAGGGTTAATGGTTGAGGGTTTTGGAGGGTTTAGGGTTAACGGTTGGGGGTCTGGGGTTTAGGGCTAATGGTTTACTAGGGTTTTGCAGGGTTCTGCAACTTTTGAGGGGGTTTGGATGTTCTAGGGGGGTTTGGATGTTCTAGGGGGGTTTGGATGTTCTAGGGGGGGGTTGGAGGTTTGGAGGTTCTAGGGGGGCGGTTAGGGTTCATGGTTGAGGGTTAAGGTTTTAGCGGGGGGGACCTGAAACTGGGAAACTAGATAAATGGTCCAGATGGTTTGCAAAGGTTAGTCTCCCCTCGATTAAGTGGGTTAAGGCGTTAGGGTTTGGGGCTCAGGGCAAAATGGTCCGGGCTCGTTCCAACTCTTGATTGCTCTCTGCTCCATCTCTCTCCTATATAGTGGCGTGTGCTTATACATATATAGGGCCCTATGGTGCGAAGTTGTGCACGCTCTCCTTCCACGATGGGGCCCTATATATAAACACACGCCACGATATATAAACACACGCCAGCAAAATGTACAAATTGGTCGTCAGTCGATCCAACCACACACTGGATCAACTGACAAGTCATCGTTGGGATATTTAGGAAAAAGGCTCTGTGATATCCTCGTTATTTAAGAGCGTATTTCAGAAAAAAAAAGCGAGTATGAAATAAACAAAACGCCAACGCAAATACCTGCATGGTCTGAGGAGTCCTCTTGCAGATTTCATGACGTGTCTCTGTGAAACCGTCCTTTGGCCTCTGCACATAAATAAATAGACACATCCAAAAAAAAAAAAAAAAACATATATATATATATCGTATATATATATTTGACGATATATATATATTTAATAATTAGTAAAAATACATAAATAAATAATATTAAAGATTATTTAATGAAATTCAGAACATCATAAAGAAATGGAATAAATACAAGAAGAAAACTGCCAAGGAGAAAAATGATATCGGAAGCAGTGAAGTAACCATGAACTCTCTTGACCAGCATGAAGCTGTCAATGAGGCGTCCATCCTCTCTCAAATAGAACACACGGTCATCATCCCTGTGCGTGGACTGAGATATTCAGTTCCTTGAATGCGGTCTCATATGTGGAACGCCAGCCCGGTTCCCAGCTGATTTTAATAATACTTTTATGGGTGCGTTTTAGACTGTCACAGAACAACAAAACAGTCGTACCTTCATGGTATTTTAAATGATTCTTATGCTAAGAGAAATAATTATATTAATGGTTTGATGAAACTCCCATTCCACAGTTACATCATGAGCTTTCTTCATTGACTTCGCATCTTTATGGTTTGGTTTCACATTTTTATCGTTGACGTTGCATGCTTAACGGTTGTTCGAGAGACACACACACACACACACACACAGAGAGAGAGAGAGAGAGAGAGAGAGAGAGAGAGAGAGAGAGAGAGAGAGAGAGTTTGCTCAGGAACGCTGGGCCTCTTTCTCACAGCAGGTGCAGCTCTCCACCTATAGAACGGAGAAATATTACCAAAAACAAAACAAAAAAAAGGTTTGACAATTGCGTGCGTAGTACGTACCGTGAGAAGCTTATCTGCTGTCCATGCGCTTGCATTTTTTCTCACTGCTGTTGCCGTTTGGTGTTCTCTGTGAGTCCCCACTTCTGCGCAGGGATTAATTTTCTGATTCTGAAAAAAGAATTGCACCGACCCACAACCACAAAAAGAAACACAGAATGACATTTAAAATTTAGACATTTTTCACCTAAATTTTTTTGTTCGGAGAAATGCGCAGTGCATGCAGGCACGCCCAGCCGGATGTACTGCTGGCATGCGGTTTTGGTCGAAATCCACCCAGACAATCAGGCCTTGCATGCTACCAGTTTTGCCTGGTCGAAATCCACCCAGACAATCAGGCCTTGCATGCTACCAGTTTTGCCTGGATGAATTTATAGTCAAACGGCGACTTGCTACATCCTGCCCGACACGCCTGCATGCATGCCCCGTTCTGCAAAATGACTGCGAAACATACCGGTGGTCTAACCGCCTCATCCCCCTTGACTACCATCACCCATGAACGACAGAACACAACTGTAACCTCATCCTCCTCCTCCTCCTCCTCCTCCTCCTCCTCTTCCTCGTTCTGCAAAATGACTGCGAAACATACCGGTGGTCTAACCGCCTCATCCCCCTTGACTACCATCACCCATAGAAGACGTTCCGCTTGCCGTCGCCTTCACCCCCCCTTTCTCCTCCCCCACCACCTCTCTCTGTCTCCACTCCCCCCTTCCCCCCTTCCCCTCCAGATGGTCAATCTCGTGTTCAACCAGACAGTCAAACTGGAGGTCAAGCACAACTAACCAAACTTGTGGTCTTCAAAAAAAAAAAAAAAAAAAAAACTTGCGGTCAATCGACACTGAAAAACTTTGAGAAATCCATCCGAACAGCAGACAAACAAACGGAGAAAGTGGACTGAATTTTTTTTTTTACAAAGGGCTCAGGTTACTATAGAGGGGTGACATGAGCACCACCCGGTGAAAAGAGATCAGCCAATACACCGTGTAACATCCAACCGCCAGTCAAACACTCTGCCTAACTTCCCTGAAAAAGCTGGCGGGGATTACACTGATGCTGGTTCCACCGCATGAACCGAAACACCACAATCCGGATCAGGATTCCAAGGCAAGTCCTGACCCTCGGTTGGGGAATACCGGGCCGAAGAGTGCCCCAATGAGCTTTTTGCAACGGTGCTGCGCAACTTTTCGTGGACGCACGATGCCATGTGGAAAGTGGCAACAGCAGTAGTTGATGTTTGCTAGTGTTATACGTGTAGACGATTAATACCATCATTACGATAGTTTTGTCCTCTTTGACGGGCATGGCCCCGTAGATTGCTCCGGATTGGGTTGCTGGGAAGAAGACGGTGTTAGTCTGGGGATGACGAAAGGGGAAAAAGGAAGAAGCGGTTCCTGCGCCCAACCACTGGGTCTCCTGAATTTGCTCTGCTTTTCATAAGGTTATGTTGTTCATGGAATTCTATCCGCTTTCGTACTCTGTGCGATTGCCTGTGCATTTTTGCTTTTACCCTTCACCCTTCCCTGAAAAAGACAGTCCCAAAGATGCCACAAGGGGTTAACAGGGACCCCCGGTTTTCAGCCCCATGTTAACCCCCACAAGCACTCAAAAGTGCCAACCTGCACGGTTTGACCAGCATTCGAGGATGTAGTTAAGCTGCACTGGACGAGTTTAAAAATCCATTAAACCAACAGTCAAAATGCATTTAAAAAAGGGAAAAGGAAACAAGTCACGAAATCCATCAAACAAGCAGTCAAACTATCTGCCAAACTTCAATAAAGAAGCACCTACAACTTCTACAAGCCAATCAAAGACCACATGCAGCTCTCTCTCTCTCTCTCTCTCTCCGTATATATATACATCCCAACGGAGAGTGAACACCACCGTCTTCCCCTAAAGCAATAAATCCCCGGTGTGACTGTATAGGACCAGAACGATAGGTGGTAGCATACATTCATGATCGTGGTGCGGTGTCCTCCGGCAAGGATGGTAGCTTCATAACTAAGTGGTTCACAAATATCTCTTCTGCAGAGTGTACTCTTTTCTCGTTTTCTTCTTTCTTTAAAATGAAAAAAAAAAACAGGAAAGGTTGACAGCATTCAGAATAAACGTCGAGCCCTGACCCACCTACATTTGTGCATCCTCTTCCTCTTCCCTCTAAGACTTCCTCCCCCTCCTCGATATCCCTATTTTCCAGGGAACCCTGCACCTCTCATATAACCTCCTCCTCCACTTGATGCCACTCCTCCCCACTCCCCAAGCCTGATCCCCCTCTTCCTCTCCCAATGCCACCTACTTCTCCTACCCCTCTTTCCTAACTCTACACCGAGTCTCCCAATTCTTCTGCCCTCTCCTCCTACTCTCCACCTACTCTCCATCTACACTAACTTCCACCCTCCCTCCTCCACCTACTCTCCCTCTTCCTCCACATAACTGCGCAGTAGGCCCATGTGCGCCTGCGCGGCGGAGGTTGAGGTTTTGGCAGAATTGAATAAGCGAAGTAGTAGATACCCCAGGGTAAAAAACCTGATGAGGTTGTGGGTTCAAGCCCCATTAGCACCTAAAGGCGCACTTAGTGCGCCTTTTGACCCTGGGCCTCCACATAACTGTGCAGTAGGCCAATGTGCGCCTGCGCGGCGAAAAGAAAGAAAAAACGAAATGATCACAAAAAAAAATGGAAATCCAGCGGCGAAAAGAAAGAAAAAACGAAATGATCACAAAAAAAAATGGAAATCCAGCGGCCTAGCTCAGTTGGTTAGGCATGCAAGTGGGGTTCAGGAGGTTGTGGGTTCAAGCCCCGTGAGCGCCTAAAGGCGCACTCAGTGCCAACTGGCACTGATAGCGCACCTGATACCTCAGATCAGTATCAGTAGGGTCGATGACCAACAGGGGTGTTAGTGTGAGGGTGAACGGGTTGTGTGTGGGTTTGGGAGAGTGTTCCCTCCAGGGGCGTGGTCCCACTAGCAAAGAGGATTGGATTGAACACCTGAATCTGGACTTGTTTGTGGAAAGGTGCAGAATGTCGAGATTGAACTGCTCTTCCGCATCTCTACATAAAACACGCCCAGATTCAGGATATTATCCAAACCCTCTTTGCTAGTGGGACCTCACCCCAGGGTTGACAGGGCCTAGAGCTGGTAGAGGTTGGTGGAATGCGATTCCTTCTCCACAACTCAGCGTTGTGCATGTATCTAGACTGGATCTCGTACCCGGTACATACGTTCTTATTGAACATGGGAATGTATCTGGAGGACTGCCACCTCCAGATACATTGAGACTGCCACCTCCAGATACATTGAGACTAATTTAGACCGTCCAGCAGTGGATCGAGGTCCAATGAAAAACCGAACAGAGTTTCTCTGGGGGTGGACTGCCCCCAATCCGGGTCTAGGTCCCATTTACACGAATTAAGCGATATTGACCGTAGATAGCAAAGATCAACGGCCAGATTCTCGTAATCCGTGCAAGTCGGACCTTGCCCCCGCGAGCAATGAAAAACCGAACCGAGTTTTCTGGGGGTGGACTACGCTATATATATATATATTTTTTCATCATCTTTCGAATTCTTGAGGAGAGCAGCTTTTCTGATTTTTTTTGTTTTTGTTTTTGTTTTTTTTGGGCGTGTTTTCCGATGCACGAGGGCGCCAGACAGGCGGAACACCTACTGCCAATCGCACCTCCCCCTGCGCCCCGCCTCCGCCGCGCGCGGGGGCGGGACCAACTGCATTCCCCAAGCCTCGCGGAACGGCCTATGGTACGCCCGTGTCAGGACAGACGACACTGCAAGCTCAGCCCCCTCATCCCGAAATTTTCTGTTCCCAGTCAGTAATAACGGTCCTCCCAAAATAGTCGGAGTTAACGAGAATAAAACCCCCACATATAATTTTTTATTTTTTTTTCCCGCAAAAAAAGGGGCCCAGTGCCCAAGGCTTATATTTCAGAAAATTTTGAGGCCGGGGTCCTCACAGTCTACCCGGTGGCTGGGAGCATTACCCAGTTTCGCTTACGGGATGGGACCACATCCCGAAGGAGCACCAAGTCCCTGACTTCCAAACTCTTTACTTCCTTGTGTCTGGCACCTTCAGACCTACACGGTTGTCTGAGTTTAACCCCCCGCATCCCCCCCCCCCCCTACATATAATGACTTCAGGGCCAAAAACAAACGTCACCCGGCAGAGTGCTATAACAGGGCCTAAGGGCCTCGCTCCACACGAGACTGAATCTTACGGAGTATTTTTCAACGTTGCCACCTTTATCGCTGTATCCGGCTGAAATCTGCCCCAAATACAGATATAATGACCGGGCGTTCTATTCGAATGACGACCAGAGTGGCACTCAGGCCCCGGGGATCCAGAAACGATGGTGAAACGGAAGGGGGGAATCATTTTTCCTAAAAAAAACAAAAGGAGAAGGGGGGAATAGATCTCAGTACTTTTCCATTCCCTTCCCCCCCCCCCCACGCCACCCCCCAAATTGCAGTTTTGTTAACAGGGCCCAATGCCCAAGGCAAGTACATCAACAAAGTCAGCAATTCACAGGGACAGACGGGGGCCAAATCCCACTACAGCGTTGATTTTCCTCAAGGCCTGAATCTGGACGTGTTTGCGGAGATGTGCAGAAATCACGTTGAGTTTCCTCAACCGCACATCGCCTAAAACAGGTCCAGATTCAGAAGTTCAGCAGACTCAACACTGCTAGTGGGACTTGGCTCGGCAGCCGATGTCGAATGATCCAGGCACTCCGGCCTGGTTCATACGGCAGCCGCTTTTGAATTCTATAAGCCGGAAACTGCCCCTCTGAGTCCCTGGAGGAAATAGACCGCATTCATTAGCGGCCAGAATAAGCCGACAGTCAGGAAGGTCCCTCTGCCATTTTTAGGATCATATGTGTATTAAAAATAATATATATAATATTATATTAATATAGGCAGACGTAATTAATCCCAGTGTTCATTTTGCACATTCCTCTGATTTTTTAATACCACTCCCATTTCCGGCTTATACAATTCAAAAGCGGCTGCCGTATGAACCAGGCCGGAGTGCCTGGATCATACGACATCGGCTGCCTTTAAAAAAGAAAAAAAAAAAGAAAAACAGGAAGAAAATCTTTTTTTTTTGGGGGGGGGGCAGGGGGAAAGAGGAAGAAATTCCATGCACCTCGCTTGTCGGGCGGCGAGGTCCCGCTATCAGAGATGATTGGATACACGGCCTGAACGTGGACGTGTTTGGCGAAAAGTGCAGAAAATGGTGATGCATCTGCTTTCCCGCATCTCGGCTTAAAACCCATCCGACATTCCGGGCCCGTATAGGATCCTCCTTGCTACGGGTAGTGGGTGGGACTGCCTCTCAGGAGATTTTTTTTTTTTTTTTTTAAATCGAATTACACACTGTAGAAACTGTTTTCACAAAACATTGGACCATTTCTCGATTTATGCGTGTCATCCTTGCGCAGGGGCCATGCTAATCTTCTCTCTCTGTATCGTTCCAATTTTAATGGATGTCCCGAAGGACTTGAGATTTCTTTTTCTCTCTGTGACGTGCACATTAAGGCCTTGCTATATGTGACCAC